CGTGATATTACTGTAAGTATTGCTTGATCCTACTGGTGATCCTACTGTAAGTGGTACTTGATCATACTGGTGATCTTACAGTAAGTATTGCTTGATCCTACTAGTGCTCATACAGTAAGTATTGCTTGATCCTACTGGTGATCCTACTGTAAGTGGATTACTTGATCCTACTTGTGATCTTAACAGTAAGTATTGCTTGATCCTTCTAATGATCTTAGTGTAATTGTTGCTTGATCCTACTAGTGATCTTACTGCAAGTGTTGCTTCATCCTAGTAGTGATTATGCTGTAAGTGTTTCTTGAACCTATTGGTGATCTTAGTGTAAGTGTTGCTTGATCCTACTGGTGATCTTACTGTAAGTGTTACTTGATCCTACTGGTGATCTTACTGTAAGTGTTACTTGTCCTACTGGTGATCATGCTGTAAGCATTACTTGATCCTACTGGTGGTCTTATTGTAGGTGTTACTTGATCCTATGGTGATCTTACTGTAAGTGTTACTTGATCCTACTGGTGATCTTACTGTAAGTGTTACTTGATCCTATGGTGTGACTTATTGTAGGTGTTACTTGATCTACTGGTGATTTTTTTGTACGTCTTACTTGATCCTACTCGTGATTTTACTGTAAGTGTTGCTTGATTCTACTGGTGATCTTACTGGTAAGTGTTGCTTGATTCTATGGTGATCTTACTGTAAGGTGTTGCTTGATTCTACTGGTGATCTTACATGTAAAGTGTTATTGATCCTACTGGTGATCTTATTGTAAGTGTTGCTTGATTCTACTGGTAATTACTGTAAGTGTATTTGATCCTACTGGTGATCTTATTGTAAAGTGTTGCTGTTCTACTGGTGATCTTACTGTAAGTGTTATTTGTCCTACTGATGATCTTATAGTAAGTGTTGCTTGATTCTACTGGTGATCTTACTGTAAGTGTTATTTGTTCCTACTGGTGATCTTATTGTAAGTGTTGCTTGATTCTATGGTGATCTTACTGTAAGTGTTATTTGATCCTTACTGGTGATCTTATTGTAAGTGTTGCTTGATTTCTACTGGGTCTTACTGTAGTGTTATTTGATCCTACTGGTGATCTTATTGTAAGTGTTGCTTGATTCTACTGGTGATCTTACTGTAAGTGTTATTTGATCCTACTGGTGATCTTATTGTAAGTGTTGCTTGATTCTACTGGTGATCTTACTGTAAGTGTATTTGATCCTACTGGTGATCTTACTGTAAGTGTTGTTGATTCTACTGGTGTCTTACTGTAAGTGTTATTTGATCTACTGGTGATCTTATGTAAGTGTTATTTGATCCTACTGGTGATCTTACTGTAGTGTTACTTGATCCTACTGGTGATCTTACTGTAAGTGTTATTTGATCCTACTGGTGATCTTACTGTAAGTGTTATTTGATCCTACTGGTGATCTTACTGTAAGTGTTATTTGATCCTACTGGTGATCTTACTCTAAGTGTTATTTGATCCTACTGGTGATCTTATTGTAAGTGTTATTTGATCCTCCTGGTGATCTTACTGTAAGTGTTACTTGATCCTACTGGTGATCTTACTGTAAGTGTTACTTGATCCTACTGGTGATCTTACAGTAAGTATTGCTTGATCCTACTTGTGATCTTACTGTAAGTGTTATTTGATCCTACTGGTGATCTTATTGTAAGTGTTGCTTGATTCTACTGGTGATCTTACTGTAAGTGTTGCTTGATTCTACTGGTGATCTTACTGTAAGTGTTGCTTGATTCTACTGGTGATCTTACTGTAAGTGTTATTTGATCCTACTGGTGATCTTATTGTAAGTGTTATTTGATCCTACTGGTGATCTTACTGTAAGTGTTACTTGATCCTACTGGTGATCTTACTGTAAGTGTTATTTGATCCTACTGGTGATCTTACTGTAAGTGTTATTTGATCCTACTGGTGATCTTACTGTAAGTGTTATTTGATCCTACTGGTGATCTTACTCTAAGTGTTATTTGATCCTACTGGTGATCTTATTGTAAGTGTTATTTGATCCTCCTGGTGATCTTACTGTAAGTGTTACTTGATCCTACTGGTGATATTACTGTAAGTGTTACGTGATCCTACTGGTGATATTACTGTAAGTGTTACTTGATCCTACTGGTGATATTACTGTAAGTGTTACTTGATCCTACTGGTGATATTACTGTAAGTGTTACTTTATCCTACTGGTGATCATACTGTAAGTGTTACTTGATCCTACTGGTGATCTTATTGTAAGTGTTACTTGATCCTACTGGTGATATTACTGTAAGTGTTACTTGATCCTACTGGTGATATTACTGTAAGTGTTACTTGATCCTACTGGTGATATTACTGTAAGTGTTACTTGATCCTACTGGTGATCTTACTGTAAGTGTTACTTGATCCTACTGGGGATCTTACTGCAAATGTTGCTTGATCCAACTGGTGATCTTACTGTAAGTGTTACTTGATCCTACTGGTGATCTTACTGTAAGTGGTACTTGATCCTACTGGTGATCATACTGTAAGTGTTACTTGATCCTACTCGTGATATTACTGTAAGTATTGCTTGATCCTACTGGTGATCCTACTGTAAGTGGTACTTGATCATACTGGTGATCTTACAGTAAGTATTGCTTGATCCTACTAGTGCTCATACAGTAAGTATTGCTTGATCCTACTGGTGATCCTACTGTAAGTGGTACTTGATCCTACTGGTGATCTTACAGTAAGTATTGCTTGATCCTTCTAATGATCTTAGTGTAATTGTTGCTTGATCCTACTAGTGATCTTACTGCAAGTGTTGCTTCATCCTAGTAGTGATTATGCTGTAAGTGTTTCTTGAACCTATTGGTGATCTTAGTGTAAGTGTTGCTTGATCCTACTGGTGATCTTACTGTAAGTGTTACTTGATCCTACTGGTGATCTTACTGTAAGTGTTACTTGATCCTACTGGTGATCATGCTGTAAGCATTACTTGATCCTACTGGTGGTCTTATTGTAGGTGTTACTTGATCCTACTGGTGATCTTACTGTAAGTGTTACTTGATCCTACTGGTGATCTTACTGTAAGTGTTACTTGATCCTACTGGTGGTCTTATTGTAGGTGTTACTTGATCCTACTGGTGATTTTTTTGTACGTCTTACTTGATCCTACTCGTGATTTTACTGTAAGTGTTGCTTGATTCTACTGGTGATCTTACTGTAAGTGTTGCTTGATTCTACTGGTGATCTTACTGTAAGTGTTGCTTGATTCTACTGGTGATCTTACTGTAAGTGTTATTTGATCCTACTGGTGATCTTATTGTAAGTGTTGCTTGATTCTACTGGTAATCTTACTGTAAGTGTTATTTGATCCTACTGGTGATCTTATTGTAAGTGTTGCTTGATTCTACTGGTGATCTTACTGTAAGTGTTATTTGATCCTACTGATGATCTTATTGTAAGTGTTGCTTGATTCTACTAGTGATCTTACTGTAAGTGTTATTTGATCCTACTGGTGATCTTATTGTAAGTGTTGCTTGATTCTACTGGTGATCTTACTGTAAGTGTTATTTGATCCTACTGGTGATCTTATTGTAAGTGTTGCTTGATTCTACTGGTGATCTTACTGTAAGTGTTATTTGATCCTACTGGTGATCTTATTGTAAGTGTTGCTTGATTCTACTGGTGATCTTACTGTAAGTGTTATTTGATCCTACTGGTGATCTTATTGTAAGTGTTGCTTGATTCTACTGGTGATCTTACTGTAAGTGTTATTTGATCCTACTGGTGATCTTACTGTAAGTGTTGCTTGATTCTACTGGTGATCTTACTGTAAGTGTTATTTGATCCTACTGGTGATCTTATTGTAAGTGTTATTTGATCCTACTGGTGATCTTACTGTAAGTGTTACTTGATCCTACTGGTGATCTTACTGTAAGTGTTATTTGATCCTACTGGTGATCTTACTGTAAGTGTTATTTGATCCTACTGGTGATCTTACTGTAAGTGTTATTTGATCCTACTGGTGATCTTACTCTAAGTGTTATTTGATTCCTACTGGTGATCTTATTGTAAGTGTTATTTGATCCTCCTGGTGATCTTACTGTAAGTGTTACTTGATCCTACTGGTGATCTTACTGTAAGTGTTACTTGATCCTACTGGTGATCTTACAGTAAGTATTGCTTGATCCTACTTGTGATCTTACTGTAAGTGTTATTTGATCCTACTGGTGATCTTATTGTAAGTGTTGCTTGATTCTACTGGTGATCTTACTGTAAGTGTTGCTTGATTCTACTGGTGATCTTACTGTAAGTGTTGCTTGATTCTACTGGTGATCTTACTGTAAGTGTTATTTGATCCTACTGGTGATCTTATTGTAAGTGTTATTTGATCCTACTGGTGATCTTACTGTAAGTGTTACTTGATCCTACTGGTGATCTTACTGTAAGTGTTATTTGATCCTACTGGTGATCTTACTGTAAGTGTTATTTGATCCTACTGGTGATCTTACTGTAAGTGTTATTTGATCCTACTGGTGATCTTACTCTAAGTGTTATTTGATCCTACTGGTGATCTTATTGTAAGTGTTATTTGATCCTCCTGGTGATCTTACTGTAAGTGTTACTTGATCCTACTGGTGATCTTACTGTAAGTGTTACTTGATCCTACTGGTGATCTTACAGTAAGTATTGCTTGATCCTACTTGTGATCTTACAGTAAGTATTGCTTGATCCTACTGGTGGACTTACTGTAAGAGTTGCTTGATCCTACTATTGATCTTACTGTAAGTGGTACTTGATCCTACTATTGATCTTACTGTAAGTGGTACTTGATCCTTCTGATAATATTACAGTAAGTATTGCTTGATCCTACTAGTGATTTTACTGTAAGTATTACTTGATCCTACTGGTGATCTTACAGTAAATATTACTTGATCCTACTAGTGATCTTAAAGTGTTACAAATTTAGTGTACTACTAAATATGGGTTTCCGAAGCTCGTCATATTCACTTTATTTTTCAGATGAGGAGACTGGTGGACATGACGGTATGAAGAAGTTTGTGAAGAGTGACGTCTTCAGGAAGATGAATGTTGGCTTCGCTCTTGACGAGGGATACGCCAACCCAACTGACAACTTCTATGTCTTTTATGGAGAGAGAACGGGGTTAGGTAAGAAATAAGGCTTATTTTCCATTGTAAGTAATAAGATTCTTGAATTTCCTGTTACTGTAGCAGACTAATACGGCTGGAGGTATAGGCAGACACACTCCAGTCAATATGTCGTCTTAATTACCACAACTAAATTTTCCAACGTTTGAGGGTTGTCGACCGTCGGTACCTACATGATTGGGATAATCCTCAATGGTTCGTTACCCATAGAATCCAAAGAAAATAAGCCGGTACCACTAAATATGCGTTACACCTGAAATATCAGGCAAACTGTTTCACAGTAAAATAAATCATTGGGAAATTTTGTTTCTCATCTGAGCATAGGTGAGAGATAAGAGTCACTACCCTATAATGAACTGGATTATCACTCTAAACACTCAGTAGACAAATTTAAATCTCATTAGACAAATATCTATGATAACAGAGAAGTTGGCAGCTAAATTAAAGCTGAAAGCCACCGACAAAGTTAGTATGGCACTGGGAGGATCTGTAAGTCAGGACCCAACCAGGACTTATGATGTGTTAAGATGTCACTGTATAATAAGGTGGACATCGAAGAAATATTATACCTTCGGTGAAGAGGCTGTCTATGGCAATCACCACCAGAGGCCTTATTCCGGCAACTAAGTGAATGATGAACCTTGGCATAAAGCTGGCAAGATCAAGGTATTACCGCTGACACAAAGTTGTTGGTATTTTGGTGGGAGCTGATCAAATGGACGACTTCCTGTCCAGAAGACAGTCTATTTAGAAAGGTATTGGCTTATACATTATCAATGGCAATATTCCACCCAAATTCCCTTCAACGTCAGAGAGGATGAGAGGAAGGCGAAACTGTGATAGCAGCGACCACAATAATAATGAGTATTCAAGCACAGGATGAACTGCCAGGTAACGAGTGATGAACACTCAATCACCTATAAAAAAAAACACACTTTTACGGGGCACCCTTACATACCATCAACACCATGACATTTATTCAGGGTCTAAAGCCATCAACAAACAAAATACCTTCCATCAATGGACTGCTCACAGAGTCAAATGCAATGTTTGTCGCTTTCACAGAGACCCAAATAAAGGACCACATTGATAAGGAAATATGGATCCCAGATTATAGCCTATTCAGATGTCACAGAGTAAACAAGCAACAAGGGGAGGGGGAGGGTTCGCCTGTATGTCACATAGTAAACAAGCAACATGGGAAGGAGGAAAGGTTCACCTGGATGTCACAGAGTAAACAAGCAACAAGGGGAGGGGGAAAGGTTCACCTGGATGTCACAGAGTAAACAAGCAACAAGGGGAGGGGGAAAGGTTCACCTGGATGTCACAGAGTAAACAAGCAACAAGGGGAGGGGGAAAGGTTCACCTGGATGTCACAGAGTAAACAAGCAACATGGGGAGGGGGAAAGGTTCACCTGGATGTCACAGAGTAAACAAGCAACAAGGGGAGGGGGAAAGGTTCCCCTGGATGTCACAGAGTAAACAAGCAACAAGGGGAGGGGGGGAAAGGTTTACCTGGATGTCACAGAGTAAACAAGCAACAAGGGGAGGGGGAAAGGTTCACCTGGATGTCACAGAGTAAACAAGCAACAAGAGGAGGGGGAAAGGTTCACCTGGATGTCACAGAGTAAACAAGCAACAAGGGGAGGGGGAAAGGTTCACCTGGATGTCACAGAGTAAACAAGCAACATGGGGAGGGGGAAAGGTTCACCTGGATGTCACAGAGTAAACAAGCCACAGGGGGAGGGGGAAAGGTTCACCTGGATGTCACAGAGTAAACAAGCAACAAGGGGAGGGGGAAAGGTTCACCTGGATGTCACAGAGCAAACAAGCAACATGGGGAGGGGAAAGGTTCACCTGGATGTCACAGAGTAAACAAGAAACCCAAGGGGAGGGGGAAAGGTTCACCTGGATGTCACAGAGCAAACAAGCAACAAGGGGAGGGGGAAAGGTTCACCTGGATGTCACAGAGTAAACAAGCAACAAGGGGAGGGGGAAAGGTTCACCTGGATGTCACAGAGTAAACAAGCAACAAGGGGAGGGGGAAAGGTTCACCTGGATGTCACAGAGTCGCTCATGTCCTCACAACTACAAAACATTTCAATTTATGTAGTTGAAGTTTTGACACTAAAAATTGAAAAACAAAACCTTGTCAGTATGGTTATACATAAGATATTAGATATAACTTCCCAACAATTCGCAAAACAGCTTTTAAAAATTGACCAATGTCTGGAAAATCTCCCCCATCCTGCCCGAAACTACTTTCTGCTGGGTGATTTCAACTCAACACACCTAAAGAGGAAGAGTCTAGCAAATATTGTTTCAGCAGAGATCACCCCAGGAGACAGCTCAGATGGAAATTCACACACACATGAGTTATTAAATCTCTGCAACAAATTCACCTTAAACCAGCAAATAATAGAGTCAAGAAGACTGGAAAAAACACTGGAACTTATCTTCACCAACAATAATGATCTAATATGAAATATAACAGTATTGAAGACTATACTCTCAGATCACTACATAATAGAGGTACAGACATGCATGCCCAGGGCCCGGGTCCTGCAAAATGTGGTAAGTTATAAAGGTGCCTTCACCAAATTGAACTTTAACAACAAAAACATATAATGGGATCAAATCAACGATGTCCTAAATGAGAATATCCTAAACAATACGGATCTGAACCTTTGCCTAGAAAGAAATAACTCTGTGGTAATTGAGGTATGCTTAAGGCACATTCTTTTCAGAAAAAGGAAGAGAAGAGATGTAAACTAGATAGAGACACTCCCTATACCGGCGAAGGCAAAGAATCACAGGGCTGCTGAAAGTGGCTAGTGTATCTGAAGTACGAAAGGAGGCATTGGTCAGAGAAATAGTAAATATCGAACTTAAGGTTAAGGAATCATACAGGAGACAAGAAACTCAGGAAGAACTTCAAGCCATAAATGAAATTTAAAAATGTTTATTTCTTTTCTTATGCCAAATCAAAAAAAAACAATATCTAGTATTAGACTCCTGCTTAGACGAGATGGGACTAACACAGATGGTAGAAAAGAAATTAGTAAGATACTAAATTTCCAATATGGCTCAATGTTTAGTGAGCCATTAACTGGACTAAGAGTAGAAAATCTAAATGAATTTTTTATGACCGAGACTCAAAATGTAGTCAGTTTAAAAAATCTCCAATATTATCCTAACACCAAAAGACTTCGAAAAAGCAATAAATGACATTCCTATGCACTCGACCCAAGGACCAAACTCTGGGACCTTGGAACTGTGTGTTCATCAAGAAAGTGCCTTTGGCATTCTATGAAGAGCAAGCATGGACACATGAGTCATTCCACAGCCACTAAACGCAACAGACGTAGCCCCACTCCACAAAGGTGGCAGTAAAGCAATTGCAAAGAATTGCAGACCTATAATACTAACATCCCATATCATAAAAATCATTGAAAGGGTCCTAAGAAGCAAGATCGCCATCCACCTAGATATCAGTCAGTTACACAACCCTGGGCAACATGGGTTTAGAGCAGGTAGTTCCTGCCTGTCTCAACTATTGGACCACTATGACAACGTCTTAGGTGCACTGGAGGACAAACAAAACGCAGTTGCAGTATACACAGACTTTACAAAAGCCTTCGACAAGTGTGACCATGGTGTAATAGCACACGAAATGCGCGATAAAGCAATAAGAAGAAAAGTTGGTAGATGGATCTATAATTTCCTAACAAATAGAACACAAAGAGTAATAGTAAACACAGGCGGCTACAGTGAAAAGCTCATTCCATAGGGCACAGTACTCGTACCCATCCTGTTCCTCATCCTCATATCTGAAACAGAGATTTAAGCCACAGCACCGTGTCTTCCTTTGCAGATGACACCCGATTTCGCATGATGGTGTCATCTGTCGATGACACCGTCTTGCAATGTCATCTGTCGATGACACTGCAAAACTCCAGGCGGACATCAACCAAATCTTTAAATAGGCCGCAGAAAGCAACATGAAGTTCATTGAAGAGATATTTCAATTACTCCGACTTGGAAAATTCGAGGAAATTAAAACTTTATCGGTGTATAAAACAAATTCCAACCACACAATAGAGAGGAAAACCAGTGTGAAGGACCTGGCAGCGATGATGTCAGATCTCTCTTATAAAGATCACAACATTGTATCCAACACATCTGCTAGGAAAATGACAGGATGAATAATGAGAACCTTCAAAACTAGGGAAGACAAGCCCATGATGGAACACAGGCGAGAAAGATACATGGTAATATATGCTTGGAAAATCCTAGTGGGACTTTCCCCAAATTTGCATATGGAAATTACTCCCTATGAAAGCATAAGACTGGGCAGGAGATGCAAAGTTCACCCAATGAAAAGCAGAGGCGCTACGAGTATGGTAAGAGACTCTTCAACTTCCTCCCAGCATACATAAGGGGGATTATCAATAGATCCTTTGCTGTCTTTAAGAAGGCGCTAGATCGGCACTTAAAGTCAGTATTTATTGAGCCGGGCTGTGGTTTGTTCATCGGTTTGCATACAGTCAGTTGTAACAGCTTGGTTGATCAGGCCGTGATCCACCGGGAGGCCTGGTCATAGACCGAGCTGCTGGGGCGTTGATTCCCGAAATCTTCTCCAGGTATACTCAAGATATACCCCAAAAGGGAAATAGGTTGTCAATAAACCCAGGGAACCTTGAATCAGCAGGAAGGAAACATACTCGGGCATATACGTTGTTGAGTGGGGAAGTACAGAGCCACTCAGAGAAGACTAGACATGTGGGAGATGTTAAAGTTAAAATGAAGGGTGTTAAGATAATTGCAACCAACAAGTTTCTAGCTATAGTGGTACACACAGTGGAAACTGTACAGTCGAAGTTAGACCATCGTCCCTTAGACGAGAATGACTGGACGGTGCTTGTGTCCAGGGTCCACTTGGGGAAGATGGGCTGATGAGAGGTGATCTTGATCTAGACTTAGCATTTACTTTTGCTGGTAGGTGGCTGTTGAAATTTATTAGTACCAAAAATTCCTACTGCTTGGCTTATATGTAAATATTTTAGTATCGTAGTCACAATGTGATTTATTGCACCTTTACACCCAAAGAGAATACTATACAAATTGATAGATTTTGGGCTTATGAAAGATTCAAGTAAGCTTAAATCTTTAGTAAATAATAATAGAATTAATAATATAGGATTAGGCATTAATATCATGTTATATTATGTAATGAGATTAGGTATAGTGTGAAAGCAAGCATCTCTGAGCAAGGTAGGTGAAATGGGTTCACAAAACGTAGGAATGTTCTTCTGGCATCAAGAATGGTTGGAATAACAACTCATAGGAGATGAGCATCCAATGCTGTTGACAAAATACTCTGCCTGGCAGCTTCCCGGCGTATCATGGATATTCAGTCTACACCAGGCTTCCGTCATGACATTATTCTGTTTAAACCATATAACTGGAGTTATATGGTTTAAACAAACCATAAAACTCCAGATCGACGTCATATAACTCCAGACTGACGCGTTAGCCACTGGGCTAGCTGGCCTAGTGGTTAACGCGTCGGTCTGGAGTTTTATGTCTCTCTGGTCGTGGGTTCTATCCCCGCCCATGGTATGGTTTGTTTGTAATCGTATCATTACGATTTCGTGTCATTATGACGGCTTTGAGGGGACTTGAGCTAGAGCTAGTCACGGTTACGCTGGTTGGAGATTCGTCCGTAAAAACTTGCATTTGTGGTCACAGTGGTGCCTATGATAACCTACCTATGGTGTAGAAATATACCTAGTTTGATGTATGTTATTGTAGCCAGCTGGCATAGTGGCTAACACGTCGGTCTCAACTTTTATGACCTTTTGACCATGGGTTCTATCTCTGCCCGTGGTATGGATTGTTTGCAACAGTAGTGTCATTACGATTTCGTGAGTAACTGGTTGGCTGACGTTATCTTGGGAACACAGGGTAATTTAGTTATGTGTTATGAGTGGGCACTGTGCACAATCCAAGGTACATAGCAGCCAAGATTGCTGAAGTAATTATACTTTGAATATTAGGCCAGAAGCAAGTAATCTTTCTGTGTACATAAATATTAGATAGGGAAACCCCAATTAATACAGGGACCCCTAGACTGTATGCTGGAATTATTAATTTTCATTAACTACTTGAATGAACCATACCTCTGTGTACATGGCATCTAAGAGAAAGAAGATCATTAAAAGTCTATTTAGCCTGGGTAGAATTAGGTGATTTCAAGCAAGGATAGACTCCACAACACCAGTAAGTCTGTTCCAGTTCGTGCATGGAGGAAAGCAGGAATTTCCTGTTAGTCAGCTAACTCTTCTATAGAAGTTTACCCATAGGGGTACTTCTGAGAACAGGACAAAGGAGTCTTGTGGTATATGTGTCAACAGTGACTGCCAGAGTGTCAGTGGTGATTGATAGTGTCAACGGTGTTTGACAGTGTCAACAGTGATTGCCAGAGTGTCAACAGTGATTGCCAGAGTGTCAACAGTGATTGCCAGAGACATGTTACAAGCTACCACACTGTTTGTCTCAAATGGGTTTTAGTATATATATTTTTTAATATATTACTACTACTACTACTATTATTATTAATAATAATAATAATAATAATAATATACTGACAGACTACGTAATTTCTTATTGAAATATGCAATAAGATCACCATAAACAGATATCATAATGTGCAACTTAACCACATTGAAAAAAATAGTGAAATTTCAGGGTTTCCCACTCTTCTTGAGAATGTGAAAAATCATGAAATCATTTCAAATTTCAATATTTTTTTTTTCACTGTGGTTATATTGTTTAAAGAACTATCATTATAAGAATGGTGAGCTCTGTTGTCATTGTTTATGTTTTAGATTATAATCAATAGTTTGTTTAACTGCACTATTGAATAAATACCTCGTGATTTATCATATCTTCAACCTATTGTTAAAAATTAAAGAGTTTGGATGATTTATGTGATTAAAATTACAATTACAGCAATAAAAGTGAAGTGTCCAGGTCAGCCAGGTCACGGGTCACAGTTCCTGACCAACACTGCAGGAGAAAAACTGTACAAGGTGATTGACTCCTTCCTGAGTTATAGAGATGAACAAGAACACTTACTGAAGGAGAACAAGAATCTGCGTCTTGGAGATGTTAACACCGTTAACCTCACAATGCTGGAGGTAATGACTGCTTTCCCTGCGTCTTGGAGATGTTAACACTTTTTACCTCACAATGCTGGAGGTAATGACTGCTTTTTCTGCGTATTGGAGATGTTAACACTGTTAACCTCACAATGCTGGAGGTAATGACTGCTTTTCTTACGTCTTGGAGATGTTAACACTGTTAACCTCACAATGCTGGAGGTCATGACTGCTTTCCCTGCGTCTTGGAGATGTTAACACTGTTAACCTCACAATGCTGGAGGTAATGACTGCTTTTCTTGCGTCTTGGAGATGTTAACACTGTTAACCTCACAATGCTGGAGGTAATGACTGCTTTTCTTACGTCTTGGAGATGTTAACACTGTTAACCTCACAATGCTGGAGGTAATGACTGCTTTTTCTGCGTCTTGGAGATGTTAACACTGTTAATCTCACAATGCTGGAGGTAATGACTGCTTTTCTTGCGTCTTGGAGATGTTAACACTGTTAAACCCCACAAAACTGGAGGTAATGACTGCTTTTCTGGGGTCTTGGAGATGGGTTAAACTTTGTTAACAGTGCCCTGAGATAGTCCTCGCAGGCTCACAAGTGGCTCTTACAACATATTTCCAGTCAGTACTGTTCTAGTAAGAAATTCCTAACTATACAGGAATGAAAGATTAACTCACTTGGTGGTATGGCGTTCTCTGTTCCCTCACCCTCAGTACCTCTTGCAGTGACGGACTTATCTGGTGTTCACGTGTCCCTTTTCTTTAACCCCACAGATCGACTACAACCTACGTTTCCCCAGAAATATTGGCCAACTATGCTGAGAGAAAATCAAAGGTCTTGTCTTACTGTGAGTCTGCCTGGATAGAGACGAATAACTACAGTTCTTCAGGAAGCCTCTTATGATTTCGTTGTCTCCAGGTCAAGTGTATTAACGTCTGTTCTCCGGGATGTTTGACACCTCACATCTTGTCAAGATGGTGTCTGTACTCCAAGATAGTTGGCATCTGACTCCTGTCTTCATTTGAATTTTTGGGTTGCCACTTGTCACTAGCTAATATTCGCCTATTCCAATGTTAAGGTCCTGGGACTACATTAAAAATATCTACAGTTACTTCTCTAATTCTAATATTAGTTACTACTGTATAAACCTACCTAAACCTTTCTTGAACAGTAAATATATCAAATAATATGTACAATCGCTACCTACACCAGCTAAGTGTGTGTGGGGATGTTTTGTGCTTTTACTGATTATTTACTGTTTCCCAGTGGAAGTTATTTCATCTCCCAATAAGTTTTCACATCCTCCTGCAGGCGAAGGTAGACACTAAGTCTAGATCAAGTCCACATCCCGCAAGTTCTTCCAGTGAGCCCTGGACTTCAGCACCGTGTGACGGGTTGCCGGCTGCTCTGGTAGAGCAGACTCTGGTCTGACTTCTCCCATCCAGGTCCCACCACATGGACCTCGAGAGGCACGAGCTTGTTAATGAGTCTTATGCTCTCGACACCATTTATTCTCACCTTCACCACCCTCAGTCGTCCAGCCATATCTGGGTAGATTCACACCACCAGGCCTAATGGCCAACCTGCCCTGGGTGCCTCAGTTTCTACTAGTATCAGGTCCCTTTGACTCAAGGTCACCTTGTTTCACTTAGGATCAGCCCCACAAAAATATTCTCGCAGAGCTGTCAAATAATCATTATGCCACACCTGGTTCCATTTGTCTACAGCATTCACCAGTTTATTGTGACTCTTGTGCAATTCTTCGTTAATGGGGGCCCTTCTGGTCCATAATAGTTGTGCTCCCTGGAAGACTGGCTCAAGATTGCTGGGAAGGGCTCGATCCTCCTCCCAAATAGCATGTGATTTGGGGTGAGAGATTCCTGCTCGTCAATCCCATTTTGTCTGTCAGTAACTCATCGGTGCTCACCCTCTTGCCGTGCAAGACCATGTGGATACACCTTTTGACTGTGCCCACCATGTGCTCATAAAAGCCTCCTTGCCATGAGGCTCTGGGAGCTATGAACTTCCATTCACACTCTATCTTCTTCATGTATTCTCACACCTCTCTGTTGTCCAAAAGATTCCAAAGATTACCAATAGACCCATGGCTGTCTTCAGGCAGGCACTGAACAGGCACCTAAAGTCGGTACCTGACCTGCCGGGATGTGGATTGCGTTGCAGCCAGCAATAAAGCTGGTTGATCAGGCCTGAATCCAACCATGAGGCCTGTCACAGACCGGGCCGCGGGGGCGTTGACCCCCGGAACTCTCTCCAAGTAAACTCCAGGTAAAGACTTTGCTGGCCCCTCTGAAGCTTGTGACATTGTCCGATATAACCAATCGTGGGCAAGAGAACCGAACTGTGAACCTCTAGAACAGGTTCACGGATGTCTCGATTGACATATCTTCTGCCAACTCTAGATGCTTCGGTAGTGGTACAAGTAAACAGGCAGACGTATACCTTCTGTGGGCCTACTCTCTGCCCTCCTGGGTCCTTCAGTGTGATAGCTCCTATATAGTCTATCCTTACAGTCTCAAAGGGCCTGTCACCATGCACCCACTCCTGAGGCAGCGGTGGTGGTCCTGGGTAAGGTAGGGTCCTCCCATCATACTGTAGGCAGACCGCATAATTCCTTATCATCTTTTTGACTGTGGCTCGGCCCTTCAGCACCCAATAATTCTGACGAAGGCAGGTTAGGGTATCTCCAAACCCTCCATGCATGGTCCTGTGATGGGCATTGCATATCACTAACTCTACCAACCACCCATTCTTCCCCAGTAACACGGGATGTTTGGTCCCATAACTGAGTTCAGCGTTGTCGTAGTCTTCCCCTACATCTTATCAGACCAGCATGAACTAGGAATAACCCCAATGAGCGGACCAACTTGCTGCTCCTTTAGTCGCCGCTAGATGCCAGTCCAGATTGTATGTTCACTTGCCCAGTCACCAGCACCTCCAGAACTCCTGGAAATCTTTCCCTTTGGTACTGCTGCATCCAGTACTCTGAGGGACCAACTAGCGACAAATGTCGGCTTCTGCTTACCTTGTCACTCAGCTTTCTCACGAATTGAAACACCGTTGCTGTGACTTCTATCAGTTTCCTTCACGAGGAATAGCGTTTGGGGTCAAACAGCTCGGTGTCTGACTCTCCCACAAAATATACTGTGCTGCTAGTTATTTGATTGAACATCTGCTGTGACCAGCCCTCCTTCGCTGGTAACCAGGCCAGCCCTCCTTCTCTGGTAACCAGGCCAGCCCTCCTTCTCTGGTAACCAGGCCAGCCCTCCTACGCTGGTAACCAGGCCAGCCCTCCTTCTCTGGTAACCAGGCCAGCCCTCCTTCACTGGTAACCAGGCCAGCCCTCCTACGCTTGTAACCAGGCCAGCCCTCCTTCGCTGGTAACCAGGCCAGCCCTCCTTCACTGGTAACCAGGCCAGCCCTCCTTCGCTGGTAACCAGGCCAGCCCTCCTTCACTGGTAACCAGGCCAGCCCTCCTTCTCTGGTACCAGGCCAGCCCTCTACGCTTGTAACCCGGCCAGCCCTCCTTCGCTGGGAACCAGGCCAGCCCTCCTACGCTTGTAACCAGGCCAGCCCTCCTTCGCTGGTAACCAGGCCAGCCCTCCTTCTCTGGTAACCAGGCCAGCCCTCCTTCACTGGTAACCAGGCCAGCCCTCCTACGCTGGTAACCAGGCCAGCCCTCCTTCACTGGTAACCAGGCCAGCCCTCCTTCGCTGGTAACCAGGCCAGCCCTCCTTCGCTGGTAACCAGGCCAGCCCTCCTTCACTGGTAACCAGGCCAGCCCTCCTTCACTGGTAACCAGGCCAGCCCTCCTTCGCTGGTAACCAGGCCAGCCCTCCTTCACTGGTAACCAGGCCAGCCCTCCTTCACTGGTAACCAGGCCAGCCCTCCTTCGCTGGTAACCAGGCCAGCCCTCCTTCACTGGTAACCAGGCCAGCCCTCCTTCACTGGTAACCAGGCCAGCCCTCCTTCACTGGTAACCAGGCAGCCCTCCTTCACTGGTAACCAGGCCAGCCCTCCTTCGCTGGTAACCAGGCCAGCCCTCCTTCGCTGGTAACCAGGCCAGCCCTCCTTCGCTGGTAACCAGGCCAGCCCTCCTTCACTGGTAACCAGGTCAGCCCTCCTTCGCTGGTAACCAGGCCAGCCCTCCTTCGCTGGTAACCAGGCCAGCCCTCCTACGCTTGTAACCAGGCCAGCCCTCCTTCGCTGGTAACCAGGCCAGCCCTCCTTCACTGGTAACCAGGCCAGCCCTCCTTCACTGGTAGCCAGGCCAGCCCTCCTTCGCTGGTAACCAGGCCAGCCCTCCTTCACTGGTAACCAGGCCAGCCCTCCTTCACTGGTAACCAGGCCAGCCCTCCTTCACTGGTAACCAGGCCAGCCCTCCTTCACTGGTAACCAGGCCAGCCCTCCTTCGCTGGTAACCAGGCCAGCCCTCCTTCGCTGGTAACCAGGCCAGCCCTCCTTCGCTGGTAACCAGGCCAGCCTCCTTCGCTGGTAACCAGGCCAGCCCTCCTTCACTGGTAACCAGGCCAGCCCTCTTCACTGGTAACCAGGCCAGCCCTCCTTCACTGGTAACCAGGCCAGCCCTCCTTCACTGGTAACCAGGCCAGCCCTCCTTCGCTGGTAACCAGGCCAGCCCTCCTTCGCTGGTAACCAGGCCAGCCCTCCTTCGCTGGTAACCAGGCCAGCCCTCCTTCGCTGGTAACCAGGCCAGCCCTCCTTCGCTGGTAACCAGGCCAGCCCTCCTTCGCTGGTAACCAGGCCAGCCCTCCTTCGCTGGTAACCAGGCCAGCCCTCCTTCGCTGGTAACCAGGCCAGCCCTCCTTCGCTGGTAACCAGGCCAGCCCTCCTACGCTTGTAACCAGGCAGCCCTCCTTCGCTGGTAACCAGGTCAGCCCTCCTTCGCTGGTAACCAGGCCAGCCCTCCTTCGCTGGTAACCAGGTCAGCCCTCCTTCGCTGGTAACCAGGCCAGCCCTCCTTCGCTGGTAACCAGGCCAGCCCTCCTTCGCTGGTAACCAGGCCAGCCCTCCTACGCTTGTAACCAGGCCAGCCCTCCTTCGCTGGTAACCAGGTCAGCCCTCCTTCGCTGGTAACAGGCCAGCCCTCCTTCGCTGGTAACCAGGCCAGCCCTCCTACGCTTGTAACCAGGCCAGCCCTCCTTCGCTGGTAACCAGGCCAGCCCTCCTTCGCTGGTAACCAGGCCAGCCCTCCTTCGCTGGTAACCAGGCCAGCCCTCCTACGCTTGTAACCAGGCCAGCCCTCCTTCGCTGGTAACCAGGCCAGCCCTCCTTCGCTGGTAACCAGGCCAGCCCTCCTTCTCTGGTAACCAGGCCAGCCCTCCTTCTCTGGTAACCAGGCCAGCCCTCCTACGCTTGTAACCAGGCCAGCCCTCCTTCACTGGTAACCAGTCTAGACCTTTGAACCACCACTTACTCTTTCCCAGCATTTTGTGTGTCAATCCTCTGCTGATCAGGTCAGCTGGGTTTTGATCTGTTGACACATACAAAATTGTAGATGCTGAGTTTAGTTCCCGTATTTCTTTTACCTGATTCCTGACATAGAGGAGTTTGGACCTATCGTTCGTCCAAATCCTGATAATGACAAATCTGTTTCACTTTGTGCTTTAAAACTTATATATACCAGAGAAGAATATGACTCTCAATATTTTTATTTATCTAATCCAGCAAAGATACAATATTTGCTCTAGATTTTATAATAATTAATATGTTTTACATGGTGTTGTATGATCCTATGAATAATGCCATGATATTTTAATACTGACGAAATTGTAATAACATTATTGCAAGTAAAGGAGGGAACGGGCGGGGCTTGAACCCATAGCAAGTGAGGATTAAAACTCACTTGCCAGTGGTATTTGTATGTCTAAACCTACATTTGTGGCCCATGCTAACCTCCCAGTGGTGTATGGAAATATGACTAGTTACATGAATCTTATTAAAGCCAGGTGGTCCAGTGGTTAACACACCGGCCTGTATGTTATAGGCTTCACTTGCCATGGGTTCAAACCCCATCCGTTCCCTGATATATTTTAATACTTTCGTAATTGTATTGGTTGAGGTGAGTATGATAAGTAATATTTTTCAGGGAGGTGTTCAGTACAATGTAGTTCCAGCAGAACTCAACGTTGGCTTTGATATTCGTGTCTCTCCCACTCAAGACTTGACAACATTTGAAGAGAAGATAACAAGTCTTTGTAAAGCTGCTGGAGAAGATGTTACTTACGAGTATACAGTAAAGAAAATGCCTGAACCTTCAGAGAGGCAGGTAATTCTTGTAGTTTCTTTGCTGTGAATTATAATATTGTAAGATGTTCATAATGCAAGTGAACTGTATTCACAGGAGATGAATGGAACTTTATCAATACAAGAAAATAGCTGGAAAAAAATTCTACTTTCTAACTTCTGTAAGACCTGAGCCGAGACAAGACCGGCGAACTTACTACTGTACGTCAGCATAATAAGCCAAACTTTCTTATTTTTGTATCAAAACTAACTTAAAATCACAGTAACCTCACTTAAACTAATGTAATTTTTTTAGCTAACTTCTGCTATGCATATATCATAGGTCAATTTTCATTTATAATATATTAAATATTTGTTTTAGCTATCCTCAGATAGTATTTGGCAGAGTTATAGATGATGCAAATTTTCACTCTGGTTATTTGACAGTAAATGGTCTGGCCAAACTCACCTGTTCGGCTTATATGACACGACATATAAGATAGGCTGTAAAGAATCATTTATCATCAATTTGTGTGTTTATTTTTTTTTACTGAAGATTCAGTAATTATAATGATCATATTTCTCATTATTTACTTCTAATGAAGACGCAAAAAATGATTAATGTGATTATTGGGAAATATTAGACAAATTGGTTAATACTGAATGCAATAATAAATCTCTTCAAATATCTTTTTTATCTGCGCTTAATAAGAAATTTGAGTAATGTTCAAATATTTTTTAAAGACATACAAACTAATATCCTTAATTCTTAGAGTGGTGAAAGTCTCGGTCAGATGAGAAGAATCTGCAGGTGTGGGTCATCACATACCTCAGACCAGAGTGAGCAAAAACTTGCGCTGCTTCAAAACCAAACTAACCTAAAAAAATATAAAAGGTGAATTGGAATAAAATGTATATAACAACAATTTAACTTTTCAGAACCAAGTGATCTGTGTAGAAGATGGTAAAAATCACTGGTGGGACGCTTTCTCACAAGCTTGTAAACACCAGTATGTAACAATCTTTCTCTCAAGCTTGTAAACACCAGTATGTAACAATCTTTCTCTCAAGCTTGTAAACACCAGTATGTAACAATCTTTCTCACAAGCTTGTAAACACCAGCATGTAACAATCTTTCTCACAAGCTTGTAAACACCAGTATGTAACAATCTTTCTCACAAGCTTGTAAACACCAGTATGTAACAATCTTTCTCACAAGCTTGTAAACACCAGTATGTAACAATCTTTCTCTCAACCTTGTAAACACCAGCATGTAACAATCTTCCTCTCAAGCTTGTAAACACAAGTATGTAACAATCTTTCCCTCAAGCATGTAAACACCAGTAAGTAACAATCTTTCTCTAAAGCTTGTAAACACCAGTAAGTAACAATCTTTCTCTCAAGCTTGTAAACACAAGTATGTAACAATCTTTCTCACAAGCTTGTAAACACCAATATGTAACTATCTTTCTCACAAGCTTGCAAACGCCAGAATGTAACAATCTTTCTCTCAAGCTTGTAAACACGAGTATGTAACAATCTTTCTCTCAAGCTTGTAAACACGAGTATGTAACAATCTTTCTCACAAGCTTGTAAACACCAATATGTAACAATCTTTCTCACAAGCTTGTAAACACCAGTATGTAACAATCTTTCTCTCAAGCTTGTAAACACCAGTATGTAACAATCTTTGTCACAAGCTTGTAAACACCAATATGTAACTATCTTTCTCACAAGCTTGTAAACGCCAGTATGTAACAATCTTTCTCTCAAGCTTGTAAACACGAGTATGTAACAATGTTTCTCTCAAGCATGTTAACAAAAGTATGTAACAATCTTTCTCTCAAGCTTGTAAAGACCAGTATATAACAATCTTTCCCTCAAGCTTGTAAAGACCAGTATGTAACAATCTTTCTCTCAAGCTTGTAAACACTAGTATGTAACAATGTTTCTGTCAAGCTTGTAAACTCCACAATGCGACAACTTTTCTCTCAAGCTTGTAAACACCAGTATGTAGCAATGTTTCTCTCAAGCTTGTAAACACTAGTATGTAACACTGTCTCTCTCAAGCTTGTAAACATCAGTATGTAACAATCTTTCTCTCAAGCTTGCAAACACCAGTATGAAACAATGTTTCTCTCAAGTTTGTAAACACAAGTATGTAACAATCTTTCTCTCAAGCTTGTAAACACAAGAATAAACAATCTTTCTCTCAAGCTTGAAAACACCAGCATGAAACAATGTTTCTCTCATGCTTGTAAACACCAGTATGTAACAATCTTTCTCTCAAGCTCGCAAACATCAGTAGGTAACAACCATTCTCTCAAGCTTGTAAACACCAGTATGTAACAATGTTTCTCTCAAGCTTGTAAACACCAGTGTGAAACAATCTTTATCTCAAAATTGTAAACACGAGCATGTAACAATCTCTATCTGAAGCTTTTGAATGCCAGTATGTAACAATCTTTCTCTCAAACTTGTAAACACCAGTATGTAACAATCTCTCTCACAAGCTTGTAAACACCAATACGCAACAATTTTTTTCACAAGCTTGTAAACACCAGTATGTAACAATCTTTCTTACAAGCTTGTAAACACCAGTATATAACAATCTTTCTCACAAGCTTGTAAACACCAGTATGTAACAATCTTTCTCTCAAGCTTGTAAACACCAACATATAGCAATCTTTCTCACATGCTTGTAAACACAAGTATGTAACAATCTTTCTCTCAAGCTTGTAAAGACCAGTATGCAACAATCTTTCTCTAAAGCTTGTAAACACCAGTATGTACAATCTTTCTCTCAAGCTTGTAAACACAAGCATGTAACAATGTTTCTCTCAAGCTTGTAAAAAACAGTATGTAACAGTCTTTCTCTCAAGCATGTAAACACCAGTTTGTAAAAATATTTCTCTCAAGCTTGTAAACTCCTGTACGCCACAATCTTTCTCTCAAGCTTTTAAACACAAGTGTGTAACAATGTTTCTCTCATGCATGGAAACACCAGTATGTAACAATGTTTCTCTCAAACTTGTGAACATCAGTATGTAACAATTTTTCTCTCAAGCTTGCAAACACCAGTGTGAAACAATGTCTCTCTCAAGCTTGTAAACACTAGTATGTAACAATGTTTCTGTCAAGCTTGCAAACTCCACAATGCGACAATTTTTCTCTCAGGCTTGTAAACACCAGTATGTAGCAAAGTTTCTCTCAAGCTTGTAAACACTAGTATGTAACAATGTCTCTATCAAGTTTGTAAACACCAGTATGAACATTAAAATGGTATAAAATACCGACAGGTTGTTAGGTAAGACACATATGCAACAGTTAGGTATCTTTATTTCGAAACGTTTCGCCTACACAGTAGGCTTCTTCAGTCGAGTACAGAAAAGTTGATAGAAGCAGAAGATACTTGAAGACGATGTAATCAGTCCATCACCCTTAAAGTTTTGAGGTGGTCAGTCCCTCAGTCTGGAGAAGAGCATTGTTCCATGGAATGAAACAATATGGAGATAAAGTGACAGGATGGAGCCTTATATAGCGCCAAGAGGTGAGACGTAGGTCACTAGAAGAGGTAAGAACTCAGATGTTGAGAGGTCAGGTCCTCTCAAATCCAGCCGCTCTCACTAGTGGAAGTTGTCGAAGTTGATTGCAGGTCTGTACCAAGATACCCTTGTGTTGCAGTGTCTGACAGATTGAACATTAAAATGGTATAAAATACCGACAGGTTGTTAGGTAAGACACATATGCAACAGTTAGGTATCTTTATTATGAAACGTTTCGCCTACACAGTAGGCTTCTTCAGTCGAGTACAGAAAAGTTGATAGAAGCAGAAGATACTTGAAGACGATGTAATCAGTCCATCACCCTTAAAGTTTTGAGGTGGTCAGTCCCGTTTCGAAATAAAGATACCTAACTGTTGCATATGTGTCTTACCTAACAACCTGTCGGTATTTTATACCATTTTAATGTTCAATCTGTCAGACACTGCAACACAAGGGTATCTTGGTACAGACCTACAATCAACTTCGACAAGCTCTACTAGTGAGAACTGTTGCATATGTGTCTTACCTAACAAACACAAGTATGTAACAATCTTTCTCTCAAGCTTGTAAACATAAGAATGTAACAATCTTTCTCTCAAGCTTGTAAACACCAGTATGAAACAATGTTTCTCTAATGCTTGTAAAACCAGTATGTAACAATGTTTCTCTTCAAACATGTAAACACCAGTGTGTAACAATCTTTCTCACAAGCTTGTAAACACCAGTGTGAAACAATCTTTATCTCAAAATTGTAAACAAGAGTATGTAACAATCTTTATCTGAAGCTTTTGAATACCGGTATGTAACAATCTTTCTCTCAAGCTTGTAAACATCAGTATTTAACAATCTCTCTCACAAGGTTGTAAACACCAATACGCAACAACTTTTTTCACAAGCTTGTAAACACCAGTATGTAACAATCTTTCTCTCAAGCTTGTAAACACCAACATATAACAATCTTTCTTACAAGCTTGTAAACACTAGTATATAACAATCTTTCTCACAAGCTTGTAATCACAAGTATGTAATAATCTTTCTCTCAAGCTTGTAAAGACCAGTATGTAACAATCTTTCTCTAAAGCTTGTAAACACCAGTATGTACAATCTTTCTCTCAAGCTTGTGAACACAAGTATGTAACAATGTTTCTCTCAAGCTTGTAAACACCAGTTTGTAAAAACATTTCTCTAAAGCTTGTAAACTACTGTACGCGACAATCTTTCTCTCAAGCTTTTAAACACAAGTATGTAACAATGTTTCCCTCAAACTTGTAAACATCTGTATGTAACAATGTTTCTCTCAAGCTTGCAAACACCAGTGTGTAACAATGTCTCTCTCAAGCTTGTAAACACCTGTATGTAACAATGTTTCTCTCAAGCTTGTAAACACCAGTATGTAACAATCGTTCTTTAAAGCTTGTAAACACCTATATGTAACAATCTTTCTCTCAAGCTTGAAAACACCAGTATGTAACAATCTTTCTCTCAAGTTTGTAAACACCGGTATGTAACAATCTTTCTGTCAAGCTTGTAAACACCAGTACGTAACAATCCTTCTCTCAAGCTTGTAAACACCGATATGTATCAATCTTTCTCTCAAGCTTGTAAACACTAGTATATACCAATCTTTCTCTCAAGCTTCTAAACACCAGTATGTATCAATATTTCTCTAAAGCTCTGTAAACACCAGTATGTAAAAATCTTTCTCTCAAGGTAGTAGGTTGGTAGACAGCAACCACCCAGGGAGGTACTACCGTCCTGCCAAGTGAGTGTAAAACGGAAACCTGTAATTGTTTTACATGATGGTAGGATTGCTGGTGTTCAGTTTTCTGTCTCATAAATATGCAAGGTTTCAGGTACGTCTTGCTACTTCTACTTACACTTAGGTCACATCTGCTAGAAAAATGACAGGATGCATAATGAGAACCTTCAAAACTAGGGAGGCCAAGCCCATGATGACACTCTTCAGGTCACTTGTTCTATCTAGGCTGGAATATTGCTGCACACTAACAGCACCTTTCAAGGCAGGTGAAATTGCCGACCTAGAAAATGTACAGAGAACTTTCACGGCGCGCATAACGGAGATAAAACACCTCAATTACTGGGAGCGCTTGAGGTTCCTAAACCTGTATTCCCTGGAACGCAGGAGGGAGAGATACATGATTATATACACCTGGAAAATCCTAGAGGGACTAGTACCGAATTTGCACACGAAAATCACTCACTACGAAAGCAAAAGACTTGGCAGACGATGCACCATCCCCCCAATGAAAAGCAGGGGTGTCACTAGCACGTTAAGAGACCATACAATAAGTGTCAGGGGCCCGAGAATGTTCAACTGCCTCCCAGCACACATAAGGGGGATTACCAACAGACCCCTGGCAGTCTTCAAGCTGGCACTGGACAAGCACCTAAAGTCAGTTCCTGATCAGCCGGGCTGTGGCTCGTACGTTAGTTCGCGTGCAGCCAGCAGCAACAGCCTGGCTGATCAGGCTCTGATCCACCAGGAGGCCTGGTCACAGACCGGGCCGCGGGGGCGTTGACCCCGGAACTCTCTCCAGGTAATCTCCAGGTAAGCTCGTAAACAGCAGTATGTAACAGTTTTTCTCTCAAGCTTGTAAACACAAATAAGTAACAATCCATCTCTCAAGCTTTTAAACACCAATATGAAACAATCTTTCACTCAAGCTTGTAAAAACTAGAATGTAACAATGTTTCTCTCAAGC